ACTGAACTAGAACTGAACTAGAACTGAACTAGAACTGAACTAGAACTGAACTAGAACTGAACTAGAACTGAACTAGAACTGAACTAGAACTGAACTAGAACTGAACTAGAACTGAACTAGAACTGAACTAGAACTGAACTAGAACTGAACTAGAACTGAACTAAACTGAACTAGAACTGAACTAGAACTGAACTAGAACTGAACTAGAACTGAACTAGAACTGAACTAGAACTGAACTAGAACTGAACTAGAACTGAACTAGAACTGAACTAGAACTGAACTAGAACTGAACTAGAACTGAACTAGAACTGAACTAGAACTGAACTAGAACTGAACTAGAACTGAACTAGAACTGAACTAGAACTGAACTAGAACTGAACTAGAACTGAACTAGAACTGAACTAGAACTGAACTAGAACTGAACTAGAACTGAACTAGAACTGAACTAGAACTGAACTAGAACTGAACTAGAACTGAACTGAACTGAACTAGAACTGAACTAGAACTGAACTAGAACTGAACTAGAACTGAACTAGAACTGAACTAGAACTGAACTAGAACTGAACTAGAACTGAACTAGAACTGAACAGAACTGAACTAGAACTGAACTAGAACTGAACTAGAACTGAACTAGAACTGAACTAGAACTGAACTAGAACTGAACTAGAACTGAACTAGAACTGAACTAGAACTGAACTAGAACTGAACTAGAACTGAACTAGAACTGAACTAGAACTGAACTAGAACTGAACTAGAACTGAACTAGAAACTGAACTAGAACTGAACTAGAACTGAACTAGAACTGAGCTAGAACTGAACTAGAACTGAACTAGAACTGAACTAAAACTGAACTAGAACTGAACTAGAACTGAACTAGAACTGAACTGAACTGAACTAGAACTGAACTAGAACTGAACTAGAACTGAACTAGAACTGAACTAGAACTGAACTAGAACTGAACTAGAACTGAACTAGAACTGAACTAGAACTGAACTAGAACTGAACTAGAACTGAACTAGAACTGAACTAGAACTGAACTAGAACTGAACTAGAACTGAACTAGAACTGAACTAGAACTGAACTAGAACTGAACTAGAACTGAACTAGAACTGAACTAGAACTGAACTAGAACTGAACTAGAACTGAACTAGAACTGAACTAGAACTGAACTAGAACTGAACTAGAACTGAACTAGAACTGAACTAGAACTGAACTAGAACTGAACTAGAACTGAACTAGAACTGAACTAGAACTGAACTAGAACTGAACTAGAACTGAACTAGAACTGAACTAGAACTGAACTAGAACTGAACTAGAACTGAACTAGAACTGAACTAGAACTGAACTAGAACTGAACTAGAACTGAACTAGAACTGAACTAGAACTGAACTAGAACTGAACTAGAACTGAACTAGAACTGAACTAGAACTGAACTAGAACTGAACTAGAACTGAACTAGAACTGAACTAGAACTGAACTAGAACTGAACTAGAACTGAACTAGAACTGAACTAGAACTGAACTAGAACTGAACTAGAACTGAACTAGAACTGAACTAGAACTGAACTAGAACTGAACTAGAACTGAACTAGAACTGAACTAGAACTGAACTAGAACTGAACTAGAACTGAACGAACTGAACTAGAACTGAACTAGAACTGAACTAGAACTGAACTAGAACTGAACTAGAACTGAACTAGAACTGAACTAGAACTGAACTAGAACTGAACTAGAACTAGAACTGAACAAGAACTGAACTAGAACTGAACTAGAACTGAACTGAACTGAACTAGAACTAAACTAGAACTGAACTAGAACTAAACTAGAACTGAACTAGAACTGAACTAGAACTGAACTAGAAATGAACTAGAACTGAACTAGAACTGAACTAGAACTGAACTAGAACTGAACTAGAACTGAACTAGAACTGAACTAGAGCTGAACTAGAACTGAACTAGAACTGAACTAGAACCAAAAAAAAAGTTTACTTTGAGCATTAGTATTCTGTGAACCAAATAAATTTTATATAAATCTTTAATATTTAAAAAATTTCTTCTATCTTTTCGTTTAGTATTATCTTTTTTGCCAAACCAAAAGTCTAATAACTGTCATATTTTCATTACCAAACAAAACCAAACGACCAAATCTACACAATAAAAATATGTCCTCATTCTAAGTTGCCTATTCCATCCCGTTCACTCCCTGTCTTACCAATTTTTTTTTTTCGTTTTTATGACACAGGATATATGTGATAACTTTTATAAGCCATTCATTTCCATATCCATTCTCATTCACATATTTTCACATTCTTACAATCATATCAAAATTTTCAAATGGAATTGTTGCTGAAAAAAAACCTAGAAATATAAATGTGAAAGGACATGTTATACTACTATTTCTTTAGCATACATGGTTTATTGGTGTATCCAGAACTACTACTACTACTTCAACTCCTAGTCGTATTTGTTTATAAAGTTTTTATTTCAAGTTTGTTTGTTATATAAAAAATATACGTAAAAAGAAACAAAATGTGCAAATTTCAATTTCAAACAAATAGATAAATCTACATTTTTCTAGATTTTTTTTGTACAAATCCTGTAGAGCAGCAACACCTGATGCTTTGTTCTCTCTGTGTACAAAGTCCTGTAACTTAATTCTAATCATAGGGAGTATTTTGTAGTTTAATAATTTTTATGCAAAAAATTTTAAATAAATAATTCACAACTAACAATTTTAGTTAAAAAAAAAGTAAATTTCCAACTGATAATTATTTTGTTTTCGAATTTTTAATAAATTTATTTTCTATATGAAACGTCCCTTATAGAATGAAAATTTATCATATTCGTTTGTTAGGTTTATGTTGCATTCTGTCTGTGTTTCTTCCATTTTCTTCTTTTTATTTCCTATAACTGAGTGTTTGCATAACTTTTTGTAACAAATCCATTTGTACTATTTGTTGTATAAATTCCTGTTTCTTTAACAATAAGGCTATTCACTAACTGTGGCAATCGTTTATTTCCCAAGACATAAGAGTTTAATAAATATGTCTTTCACTCTAGCTATTTTTCCACTCGTAGTGGATATAATAATAAATTGTTCTCAAAATAATAGTTCCATATTTTTTCTTTAAACAATGCACATCCTTTATCTAAACTATTCCTATATCCTTGTAAATATTCTAAATATTTTTAACGTTTTATTGTTTCTTTTCTTCTTTAATACCAAACTGTTCATGTGTCTGTTTCCTAAGGTGTATTTCGTTTTTGGTTTCTTTATTCAGTCTAATATTTTGCATTTTCAATGAATTTTTAAAGTAATTTTTTAGCAGAGACTACAGATACAAATCAACCGACAAATTTATGCTGTTTAAGCAATATATGTAGTCAAATATATTAAACAAATTTTTATGAATTTATGTAATAAATAATAAACAAATATAAAAAAAGCCATTACAAATATAAAAAATATGAAAATTTAAAAATAACTAGATCGCACAGTTCTAGTTCAGTTCTAGTTCAGTTCTAGTTCAGTTCTAGTTCAGTTCTAGTTCAGTTCTAGTTCAGTTCTAGTTCAGTTCTAGTTCAGTTCTAGTTCAGTTCTAGTTCAGTTCTAGTTCAGTTCTAGTTCAGTTCTAGTTCAGTTCTAGTTCAGTTCTAGTTCAGTTCTAGTTCAGTTCTAGTTCAGTTCTAGTTCAGTTCTAGTTCAGTTCTAGTTCAGTTCTAGTTCAGTTCTAGTTCTAGTTCAGTTCTAGTTCAGTTCTAGTTCAGTTCTAGTTCAGTTCTAGTTCAGTTCTAGTTCAGTTCTAGTTCAGTTCTAGTTCAGTTCTAGTTCAGTTCTAGTTCAGTTTAGTTCAGTTCTAGTTCAGTTCTAGTTCAGTTCTAGTTCAGTTCTAGTTCAGTTCTAGTTCAGTTCTAGTTCAGTTCTAGTTCAGTTCTAGTTCAGTTCTGTTCAGTTCTAGTTCAGTTCTAGTTCAGTTCTAGTTCAGTTCTAGTTCAGTTCTAGTTCAGTTCTAGTTCAGTTCTAGTTCAGTTCTAGTTCAGTTCTAGTTCAGTTCATAGTTCAGTTCTAGTTCAGTTCTAGTTCAGTTCTAGTTCAGTTCTAGTTCAGTTCTAGTTCAGTTCTAGTTCAGTTCTAGTTCAGTTCTAGTTCAGTTCTAGTTCAGTTCTAGTTCAGTTTCTAGTTTCAGTTCTAGTTCAGTTCTAGTTCAGTTCTAGTTCAGTTCTAGTTCAGTTCTAGTTCAGTTCTAGTTCAGTTCTAGTTCAGTTCTAGTTCAGTTCTAGTTCAGTTCTAGTTCAGTTCTAGTTCAGTTCTAGTTCAGTTCTAGTTCAGTTCTAGTTCAGTTCTAGTTCAGTTCTAGTTCAGTTCTAGTTCAGTTCTAGTTCAGTTCTAGTTCAGTTCTAGTTCAGTTCTAGTTCAGTTCTAGTTCAGTTCTAGTTCAGTTCTAGTTCAGTTCTAGTTCAGTTCTAGTTCAGTTCTAGTTCAGTTCTAGTTCAGTTCTAGTTCAGTTGTAGTTCTGTTCCAATTTAATCATATTTATGTTTATCCAATCTCTTTTTAAAATATTCCATTTTTTAGTCCACATTTAAATTCAGCAATCTCTTTAAACTATAGCAAGAAAATCTTTTGAGTTAATTTTAAATTCATCATATTGCAATTTATGCTTCTGTTTGCTTTACGTCTAGCAGATTTTAAACTAGCAATAAATTTTAGCTTTTCAGCTGAGCAGCCATACAGCTAAAATAGACTATTTACCAGGAAAAAATCTTTCGACTATTAAATAAATACAGTTTCTATTTGCTGTGCAAATTTCCAACTCCAACAATGAAACAGGTGCAGTTTAATGGTTTAAATATTCACAAAAGAAGCGCAAAATTGCCAGACAAAATACTCTAGAGGGAATTAACTGCAATTTGCTAAAAAAAGTTTACAGACTCTTAAAGCTGTATAAATGCAAAAAGGGAAGACTTTTTGGAGGATTAAAATTTACAAATGAGAACAAAATTTTGGTTTTTAATGATTTCTATTTATTTCTTTAACATTTGATATACGATATGCCATTTTCAAGCCGTTTCAGCTTCCTTGAGATGTCTGCCTTTCTTGAAATTTCTCAAGTAGATTAAGGCTTCTTGATCTTTAACCTTTCTGCCGTTAGGTGGATGAGCGGCTAAATGTAAACCAAAGGGAAGTTTAATATCTTTGGTATCAACGGCGATGGTATCATTATCCTCTGCAGAATCAGCTGTAATAGAGACGCCATCTAATCTAATATTACGACCAAGCATTTCATCATCATTACCGTTTTCTTGTTGTTGTTGTTGTTGTGGTTTTTGTTGTTGATAATGATAATCTTCAGCCATGTCTTCTGGAGCAGCTTGTAATTCATCGATCGTTCTGCCACTTTGAACATATTGGTACATAGGACGTCTGGCTAATTGGTATTTGAAGTTAACTTTATTATTATTGCCAGTACCGGGTACATCGGGTACATTGGGAACATCGGGCACATTTGGAACATCAGGCACATTGGGAATATCGGGAAACTCAGGCTTCTTAATTGGTGGATGTACGACTACAATATAGGGAGGTTGACCGCCGGGGTACAACCAGGGATAGTAACCAAAAGGTGGCTGGGAAAATCCGGGGGGATAAAAGGGATACATAGGTGGATGCTGAGGATAAATTGGTGGATGATGAGGATACATTGGTGGATGTGAGGGATACACTGGTGGATGTGGATGGGCAGTAGGTGGTTCCACAGGCGGTGTAGGATTAAATGTAGGTCCAGGAGGAGTTGGATGTGTGGGATGAGTAGGGTGTGTTGGTGCGGTGGGTGTGGTGGCTTGTGTGGATAGTAATCATCATTAGGATAATTAGGATACGAAGGATAATGTGGATAGTAGGGGTAGTGATAGGGAGGCTTAACTACAATAGTTGTGGGACGTTCCGGCTTGGGTGTAGTGGTTTTCGCTTGCAAGAATGCAAAAGGATTAATTAAAAGCCTTACATCTGTAAAGAGAAATTAAAATAATTAATTTAATATAAACTATTAAACCCTTAAATACTCTACCTTGATCGTTAATAACACGACCTTCATCACTGGAAGGTTTACCACTGTCGGCAGCCAAGACTGCCAAACAGCCTACAATTAACACCAAAGTTATTTCTTTCAAACAACCCATGTTGATTAATGAGCTGCTCAATGAAAACTATGATCAATTTCGTTTTCTCAGCGTATTTATATTGAAAACTAATAAAATTCTTCTTTCTTACAAATTTCTTCTTAGACAAAAATCAATCAAAAAGAAAGTCTTAACAAAAATTCTTTTAGCTGTAAGCTTCACCTTCACTTTCTTAGAATATTAGCATTTCAATGGGAATCTCTTTTTCTTTTGGCATAATCTTCAAAATCTCATCAACCAATATAAAGTCTTTTATTTATTTAGCAAATAAAACTTATTTACATTTTATTGCACCAATTTAAATTTACGCTATTAGCTATTGTAGCTACGATTCTATTCAAAGAGATCAAAGAAAAACAACTTCTTCTTTGGCGAAATAAAAAATTTCACTAATATTGTTTTAAGCTCAAATACCAGACAGTTACAGAAAATAGTCAATGAACTTCTTAGATTTATAGTTTAGGCCAGAGTTTGTTTTAAAAATAATTTAACAATAACACTAAGTTTTTGTGTAAAAACTGAGTTTTTGTGTAAAACTGAGTTTTTGTGTAAAAACTAAGTTTTTGTGTAAAAGCTGAGTTTTTGTGTAAAAGCTGAGTTTTTGTGTAAAAATTTAGTTTTTGTGTAAAATTTGAGTTCTTGTGTAAAAACTGATTTTTATGTGTAAAAACTGAAAAAACTGAGTTTTTGTGTAAAACTGAGTTTTTGTGTAAAAACTGAGTTTTTGTGTAAAAACGGAGTTTTTGTGTAAAAACTAAGTTTTTGTGTAAAAATTTAGTTTTTGTGTAAAAACTAAGTTTTTGTGTAAAAACTGAGTTTTTGTGTAAAACTGAGTTTTTGTGTAAAAACTGAGTTTTTGTGTAAAAACTGAGTTTTTGTGTAAAAACTGAGTTTTTGTGTAAAAACTGAGTTTTTGTGTAAAAACAGAGTTTTTGTGTAAAAACAGAGTTTTTGTGTAAAAACAGAGTTTTTGTATAAAAACAGAGTTTTTGTGTAAAAACTGAGTTTTTGTGTAAAAACTGAGTTTTTATGTAAAAACTGAGTTTTTGTATAAAAACTGAGTTTTTGTGTAAAAACTGAGTTTTTGTGTTAAAACTGAGTTTTTGTGTAAAAACTGAGTTTTTGTGTAAAAACTGAGTTTTTGTGTAAAAACTGAGTTTTTGTGTAAAAACTCAGTTTTTGTGTAAAAACTCAGTTTTTGTGTAAAAAGAGAGGTTTTTTATAAAAATTAAGTTTTTGTGTAAAAAAAAATTGTTTGTGTATAAACAGCAATTTTTCTATAGAAAAGTTGTCTAAACAAGAGCAAATTTTTCTATAGAAATGTTGTCTAAACTAAGGCAACTTTTAGTATAGAAAACGAATCTCAATAGAGCAACTTTTTCTATAGAAAATTTAACTAGTCAAAAACAACTTTTTCTACAGAAAAGTTTTCTTGACAAGAGCAGCTGTTTGTTGTCTTGACAAGAGCAGCTTTTTATATAGAAAAGTTGCCTTGTTTCTTGTCTTGTTAGAAACTTTGCCTTGACAAAAGCAACGTTTTTCTATAGAAAGGTTTTTTTTTGGCAAGAGGAACTTTTTCTATAGAAAGGTTTTCTTGGCAAGAGGAACTTTTTCTATAGAAAAGTTTTCTTGACTAGAGCAACTTTTTGTTGTCTTGTCTGGAGCAATTTTTTCTATAGAAAAGTTTCCTTTTCTAGAGCAACTTTTTCTGTAAAGATGTTGTCTTGTCTAGAGCAACTTTTTCTATAGAAAAGTTGTGTTGTCTAGAGCAACTTTTTCTATAGAAAAGTTTCCTTTTCTATAGCAAATTTTTCTATAAAAATATTGCCTTGTCTAGAGCAACATTTTCTATTGAAAAGTTGTCTTGGCTAGAGCAACTTTTTCTTTAGAAAAGTTGTCTTGGCTAGAGCAACTTTTTCTATAGAAAAGTTTTCTTGACTAGGCAACTTTTTCTATTAAATCTGAGGTTTTGTATATAAATTAAAGTTTTCACTGTAAATTTCCTATTGTTAGGTGCGGCTCCTAAGAATAGTATTAGTGAGTTCGTTGTTGTAAATTTTACAACATTAGCCCAATTAGAAAGGTTTCTAGACGAGTGATAGAAAACAAAATAGAATCCATTGTCTGAACACTTCTTACTTTATTATTCAATTCTGAACATTTCCATGTCTTAAGCTAATTTACTTTAGATAATAAAGCTGGCTTTTTAAGTAATACATTAGTGATCTATCGCTAGATCAACAACAAGGAAGTTTACGTCATATAAAAAGCTAAAATATCTACAAATCTTAATTTCTTTTTATTTATGCAAAACAATCTTTTTATAGCAACTCCCTGTTCTTCTAACTCGCTATAAATCATTGTTGATTCTTCTCAAACATTTTATTGACATGTGTTTATGATAAAACCAGTAAAAAAATTTTTTAGGCCAACTAATGATCTATAGCTACTAATCATTTGGGTGTAACATATTGACACATTGCAATAAATTTGTCTATAATAACAATTTTGTAAAGAAATTTAAATAATAACTAATGCTAATTTTAAGCTTTTTTTATTACAAAAATTTAGCATAATGTTTTGGGTTTTTATTTTTAAGTTTTTTGCCACAATAGCCGTAATAAATATTTTTTAATTTATGCTTAAAAACATAAGCTTGTAAAAAAATGATTCTTATGTTAATTAAGTGAACTTATTAGATTTATTTTTGTTTTGTTCAGATGTCACCGAGAAAGAGATATTTAAAAAGAAATTTTGTTTGTTAGAAAAACAAACAAATGAATGAAACTGATTTAATGTGTCTGAAAGAAATTGATTAACATTTGAGCGCGGAGGTTAGATAGATAGAAGTTTAAAATATTGCTTTTAAAAGAAATTTTAAAACTTTTTTATAGCATGCAATAAAAAGTTGTCTTGTCTAGAGCAACTTTTTCTATAGAAAATTTGTCTTAACTAGAGCAACTTTTCCTATAGAAAAGTTGTCTTGTCGAGAGCAACTTTTTCTATAGAAAAGTTGTCTTGTCTAGAGCAACTTTTTCTATAGAAAAGTTGTATTGACTAGAGCAACTTTTTCTATAGAAAAGTTGTCTTGACTAGAGCAACTTTTTCTATAGAAAAGTTGTCTTGACTAGAGCAACTTTTTCTATAGAAAAGTTGTCTTGTCCACAGCAACTGTTTCTATAGAAAAGTTGTATTTTATAGAGCAACTGTTTCTATAGAAAAGTTGTCTTGTCCAGAGTGACTTTTTCTATAGAAAAGTTGTCTTGTCCAGAGCGACTTTTTCTATGGAAAATTTGTCTTGTGCATCTTTTTCTTTGGAAAAGTTTTCTTGTCTAGAGCAACTTTTTCTATACAAAAGTTGTCTTGTCCAGAACAACTTTTTCTATACAAAAGTTATCTTGTCTAGAGCAACTTTTTCTATAGAAAATATGTCTTGTCCAGGGAACATTTTATATAGAAAAGTTGTCTTGTCCAGAGCAACTTATTCTATGGAAATATGTCTTGTTCAGAGCAACTTTTTTTAAAGAAAAGTTTGTCTTAACTAGAGCAATGTTTTCTATAGAAATATTGTCTTGTTTAGAGCAACTTTTTCTATACAAAAGTTATATTGTCCAGAGCAACTTTTTCTATGTATCGAAGAGTTGTCTTGTCTAGAGCGACTTTTTCTATAGAAAAGTTGTCTTGTCCGGAACAACTTTTTCTATAGAAAAGTTGTCTTGTCCAGAGCAACTTTTTCTGTAGAAAAGTTGTCTTGTCCAAAGCAACTTTTTCTGTACAAAAGTTGTCTTTTCCAGAGCAACTTTTCCATAGAAATCTTTTCTTGTCCAGAGCTACTTTTTCTATAAAACAGTTGCCTTGTTCAGAGCAATTTTTTCTATAGAAAAGTTGTCTTGTCCAGAGCAACTTTTTCTATAGAAATGTTGTCTTGGCCAGAGCAACTTTTTCTATAGAAAAGTTTCCATATTCAGAGCAACTTTTACTATTGAAAAATTGTTTTGTCCAGAGAAACTTTTTCTTTAGAAAAGTTGTCTTGTCCAGATCAACTTTTTCTATAGAAAAGTTGTCTTGTCCAGAGCAACTTTTTATATAGAAAAGTTGTTTTGTCCAGAGCAACTTTTTCTATAGAAAAGTTGTTTTGTCCAGAGCAACTTTTTCTTTAGTAAAGTTGTCTTGTCTTGAGCAACTTTTTCTATAGAAAAGTTGTCTTGTCTAGAGCAACTTTTTCTATAGAAAAGTTGTCTTGTCTAGAGCAACTTTTTCAATAGAAAAGTTGTCTTGTCTAGAGCAACATTTTCTATAGAAAAGTTGTCTTGTCCAGAGCAACTTTTTCTATAGAAAAGTTGACTTGTCTAGAGCAGCTTTTTCTATAGAAAAGTTGTCTTGACCAGAGCAACTTTTTCTATAGAAAAGTTGTCTTGACCAGAGCAACTTTTTCTATAGAACAGTTGTCTTGTCCAGAGCAGCTTTCTCTATAGAACAGTTGTCTTGTCTAGAGCAACTTTTTCTATAGAAAATATGTCTTGTCCAGGGAACATTTTATATAGAAAAGTTGTCTTGTCCAGAGCAACTTATTCTATGGAAATATGTCTTGTTCAGAGCAACTTTTTTTAAAGAAAAGTTTGTCTTAGCAACTTTTTCTATAGAAAAGTTATATTGTCCAGAACAACTTTTTCTATGTATAGAAGAGTTGTCTTGTCTAGAGCGACTTTTTCTATAGAAAAGTTGTCTTGTCCGGAGCAACTTTTTCTATAGAAAATTGTCTTGTCCAGAGCAACTTTTTCTGTAGAAAAGTTGTCTTGTCCAGAGCAACTTTTTCTGTACAAAAGTTGTCTTTTCCAGAGCAACTTTTTTCTATAGAAAAGTTGTCTTGTCCAGAGCAACTTTTTCTATAGAAAGTGTCTAGTTTTGGTGTAAAGATTCAATATTTGTTTGAAAAATTAGTTTTAATGTAAAAACAGAGATTATTTGCTCAGTGTTATGGAAAAGCGAATGTTTACCCAGCCTTAAGTATTACGAACTCTCAAATATTTTG